ATAAGGATGTTGATTAAAATATATTACATATTTAAATGTGTTATACACTGTGGAGCATAGCCTCCAGCCCTGCCTGACGGGGAGGCCTGGTCAGAGCCCCGGGCAGACAGGTCTGCCCTACAGCTGTGTTACTGCATGAACTAAGGCCTGCCCTCGGTGCAGCATAGACTCAAGCTCCGTCTGACCAGGGGACCCTGATAAAGGACTCCAGGCAGCCATGGGGCCCAGACTTCTACGTGTATTTTTTCCAGCACCACAAAGCAATTAACTCAATTCTCGGCAGACACTGACCCCATGTCCCACAAATTTAACTCCATTCTGATACTATCTACCTGGGGATGGTGTCAGATTCCACAGATTAAGGGCTCAGTCCCAGAAGACTGCCCAAACTTCAGATATTAATTTCAGGTCCAGATGGTTACCTGTGTTTCTGACCACTGGCTATAAAGATCCCACAAGCTTCTCCTTGGGTTTCATTAATTTGCTAGAGCAGCTCACCAAACTCAGGAAACCAGTTTATTTATTAGATTATGGGTTTATTACAAAAGGTATTAAAGGATATAAATGAACAGCCACATGGAAAGATCCATAGGACAAGGTGTGGGGAAGGGGCCTGGAGCTTCCATGCCCACTCCCATTGTCACTCTCCCAGCACCTCCACAATTCACCAACCTGGAAGCCAGCCCAAGCCCAGCCTTTTAGGTTTTTATGGAGGCTTCATGATTAATTAAATCATTGGCCATTGGTAACTGAACTCAATCTCTGGAGTCTCTCCCTTCCTCAGAGGTTGGGGAGGGAGAGGGATGTAAGGGCTGAAAGTTCCAACCCTCTAACCAGGCTGTTGGTTCCCCTAGCAACCAGCCCCAATCCTTAGGTTACCTGAGAGGGGTTCAATAGTCATTCATTAACATAACAAAAGACACCTTTATCATTCTCTTCACTTAGCAAATTCTAGGAGCTTTAGGAGCTCCTTGCTGACATCCCAGGACTAGACCAACTGTAGATGTCCTATAATCACAATATTACAAACACCCACTCTTCAGAGAGCCCAGCCTACAGCTCGCCCCAGCAGCCAGTCCAGGCTAAGGCCCTACCCAAATGCAAAGCCCAGCCTGTGGCCTCTATCAGACAGGAAGCCCAGTCACTGACCCCACCCAACTATAAAGCACAGCTTCCATCCCCACTAAACTGCATGGTATAGCTAGAAGCCCTATCTGAATAGAGAGCCCAGGCAGAAACCATGTCCAAATGCAGAGCCTAACCAGCTGCCAGCCCATTCAACAAACCCAACTACTGGATGTACCGCGTGGCCCCATCTGTGTCCCCATCCAATTGGGAAGCCCTGCCTGCAGTCCTACCTGAATGTGGAGTATAGCCAGTGGCACCATCCAGTGGGGGAGCACAGCCTGAGGTCCCACCCAACCAGGAGTCACTGGGGAGCCCTCCCCCATTTTGGAATTCTACTGGGGGCACCAGCAGGCCAGGGAGCACGGTCTGCCATTCCCACCCATCCGCTGTGACTGAGGAGTCCAAGGAGAGTCCCTGGCTGACTGCAGAGCCCAGCTAGCAGCCCCACCGGCCAAGGAGCCCAGTAAGTGGCCATTCCTTACTAGCTCCCCGCCTCAGAACATGGGCAGCATCCTCACCGGACTAGAGACCCCAACAGCAAGCCCCGCCTGCTTGTGGATCTACCAGCTGACCCACCCAGCCCCCCAGGCTGAGCTGACTGAAGGTCTTTCCCTGCCAAAGCAAACCTGTAAACACTGGATGAGATCTTATTTTCAAATGCAGTAAGATGTTATTCAAAGGGTACAAACTTCCAGCTACAGATGAGTAGGTTCTGGGGATCTAATGTATAGCATGGTGACTATAGTTAACAATACTGTATTGTGTACCTGATAGCTGCTAAGAGAATAGATTTTAAGTGTTCTCACCACACCCACACAAATGGTATGATGGATGTGTTAACTAATCGTACGGTGGTAATCATTTTGCAATGTATATCAAATCATCATGTTTTATACATTAAACCTATACAATGTGGGATGCCAATTATATCTCAATAAGCCTGGAAAAATAGAAGTGTTTTATTCTCTCCCTATGAGCCTGGTAATAAGACCAGTGTAGAAATAAAGCTTGTTATTTGCCACTTGTAATTCATTTGAGCATTTCCTTTTCTCTTTTTTCCTCTGTCCCTTCAATCCCCACTTTCCAGAACCTCCTTCTCCACCATTGATTCCCCCCTCCACATCCCACCTCCCAACAACTGCTAGCATTGGTCTTCTCTGAGGCTTCACTGGTTGTCAGAATACCTTAGTATGTCAAGGATAAACCCTGGTGGCCCCTTAGATGCTAAATCATAACACTCCTTATTCACTCCCTCCTTGGCCCAGATCTTAGAACTGTGTTTCTTCTTTACTGTTCATGTTCTGCTTTCCTGGGAATGGAACTATATAAATTCAACTTCAAGTCATGTCCCCAGGACTACCTCCCTTTCCGATAATATTTCCAGTCCTAACTTCTCCCATACAGATATTCTGGAAACGGGTCCCCAGCCACTTGGGTGGATGCATTCATTCTAATTCATCAAGCTATACTCTTATGATTTGTGTACTTTTCTATACCATGTTGTACTTAACAAGATGTTTATTAAAGTAAAAAATATAAGCAGAAAACAAGAGGGCTGAGTGCAGAATGCCAACGATGTGGAAAAAGTGGCTCTATCTCTTAGAGGAATAAGATTTGGTAAGAGAAAATCTGCATGGTTGAGGGGACTCATAAAAGCTGCTCAGGGTGGGTGGATAAAGTCATCTCTGTTTGGCATGGAGAGGGGTGTGTGTGTGCAAAGAAGGCAAGCAGCTAGAAAGCCCCTGAAGATTGAGGAGTCTCGCCTTTTGGTTAAACCCAGCAATGCTTTTAATAAAATGGCTTATCTTGTGCTTCTCTGCTTGATGTTTCCAGAGCTCCTTGGCGACTCCAGGTCTTCCTGGATTCTCCTTGCTATGTCCCTAACTGCCTCAGTGGCATCTCCAGATGACAGAATAAGGACTCTTCCACCCCAGGGCCTTCTCAAGCATCAGCCTGTTTCAGGTTCTGTTTCTATAGGCCCTGCCCCACTCCCTGTGCCTGCCTGAACACCCATCCTGTAGTGACCCCAATATGCCCACATCAGCAGCCTGTTTTTGCACATAATATAAATGTTTCTGTTCTCTAATGTTGAGTCAGGCCATAAAACATACTCAGCACTGTTACTTAAAGTTCATCTTGACCTGGCTCCCTGGTTGACTGGGGTGAGAAAATTCAGAGCATGAAGGCTATGAGTTTCCATGAGTCAGGAAAGCTCATTTAAGTGATAAATCTGGAGGACAAAAGTAAAAACTGTCTATAGGTAAGTTATATCATGACAAGACTGAATAACCCTAATCTACCTCAACGATGCTACCCTGGATAAAACTTTAATTCTTTTTCCTTTAGGACACTTTGAGGTCGCTCTAGGCCATACTTTCTAATTACTGTGGAGTTTTGTTTGTCTGTGGACTTCTCTCCTAGTCACACAAAGAAGAATACGGAGCTTGAGCAAAGAAAAAATGAAACCATATTATAGAGATTATATTTTAAATTCATTTTGTTTGAAACTGGAGATAGGTGAACTCCAGAAGTCAGTTGTAGTGTCTGTCTTTGCCAAAAAATGGACTTTGTAAATGCTAAGTTCCTGAGACTACCAGTTCTGCTCTGTAAAGTGTAACAGGATTTGGTCACTTTGATTACTGAAAGCGAGGTGCTGAAAATCATCAGGAGTATGTGAAGCATTGTAGTTACTCCCTTTATTCTGAACCCGCTCTGAGGAAAATTGATTATTCATTAATTGTCATGAAGGTGCTAGGGAAACATAGGTGAAAATATTGTTCTTGAACTCAAGCAGTTGATGGTCTAATTTAGGATACAGAAATACAAACAAATACAGTTCAGAGTCGTGAGGGCTCTAACGGAAGAACTAGCTTCTCGGAAGCCTAGGTGTGTGGAGAAATGCATGATGCAAAGAAAGTTATGCTTACATTGGGCTTTCAAGAATGAGGGTTCATCAGGAAGAAATGTTGCCTGAGGTGTGGAGCAAGAATGACCATGTGCCTCACGCTACGCCCGGAGCAAGCTGAGCAGGAGCCAAGGAGTCCTGTGGTGGAGGCTGGCCTGGCAGCGCAGACCAGTTTAAGTATGACAGCCCTTGCATACTTAGTTTGTAGCTAAAGGGGAATAAATAGAGTTTTAAGAGAATGAGATGATCAGATCTGCATTTTAGAAGGATACTGGAAGTAGCGTGAGCAATGGACTCACGAAAAATAGACAAAAGACAAGACCTGTTACAAGGCCCTGGCAAAAATCTCAGAAATAAAACTATCATATTTAACATATTTTAAGTGTTGGAAAGATCTTATCAAAGGCAGAATTATATGTTTGAAATTACATCTATAAAGGCTTTGAAAATTATTCATTTAATAAACACATTCATTTAATACACTATCATGTATCAAGCATTGAAAAAGCAGATATATAGGATGTGTGCAAAAGATTTAATTATAGCACTGTTCATTGCAAAGTTACAACTAAATATCTGCAAATAATCAAAGGACCCACAATTATTAGATTGCCTAAAATATTTTTCTATTTTATACATACACATTATACATATATAGTATGTATATACACAACTTTTTAAAAAGGCACATGACTTTTGTACATTTTTTTTTCAAAATATGAACAATTTCCATAATTATTTGTCATTTAAATGTAAATGCATTCCATCATAATGTTACTAGATAGAGAACCGGTTCCAAACTCAGGTTCAGCTGCTTGCTGCTTGAAAATCAGTACTCTAGAAACCAAGTGATGGTGGGAAAGAAAAGGTTGCTTTATTCAGGAAATCGGCGAACTAATGTCTCAAAGGCCATCTTCCCTGTCCAGGCGAAGCTAGAGGGCTTTAAAGGGGAAGACATGGGGAAAACGGGAGGAGGGGGGTGGGGGGGGAGGCGCGCGCTATGTGCAGAACAAGCAGGTGCCCAGGCGGTGAGTGGAATGTGGACATGACCCTGAACAGACTCGCTGACATCTGTATGAGAATGAAGTTAGGCCTTACCTTCTGGGGAAGTTTGGTCCTCCACTCCTAAGGCCCGTGGTCTGCAAATCTCAAAGTGTTCCTCTCCCCCTCTGTTTTCTGAAAGACTGTTATTACTTCTTCCTTGAATGGTAAAATTTACAAGTGAAACCCCATGGGACTAAAGTGTTCCTTGTGGGAGGATAGTCATTTGAATTGCATTAATAGATGTGAGGCTATTCTGGTTCTGTCTATTCTTGTCAGTTTTGGTTGAGTTTTATCTTTCCAATTTGTCTAAATTGCTGCATTGGCATAAAAAATCATAATTTTTTTAGGTATCCTTTTAATTAGGTAAGAGCCATAGTAGTAACTCTTCTTTCCATCTTGATATTAGACTGATTTTGTTGTTCTTTTGAGAACCAGTTAGCAGTTTCACTAATTTTTTCTCCACTGTTCTTCGGTCCTATATATGCTGACTTCTACCTTTTATTATTTCCACCTTTCTATTTACTTTGTTCTTATTTATTTAGAAAATGGAATATTAGACCATTGAATTTGCACCTCTTTTGGTTTTCTAAATCTATCATTTTTTTAACCGCCCCCCCCCCCAAAAAAGGGATTCCTGACCATAACAGAAAAAACTAGAAATCTGTAAGAAAATATTACCTGGAAATTAAATACATTCCAAAAGAATCCAACAGTCAGAAGAAATGTCAAAGCAAATTAGAATATATTTTGAACTTAAAGATGAAAATGCAACATACCAAATTTTGTGAGATGAAGCTAAATGATATAGCTTGCTAGAAAGAAAGGTCTCAAGTCAATAATCTAACCTTCTACCATAAAGCTAGAAAAGAGCAAAGCCCAAAGCAAGCAGAAAAAAAGGACAGAGCAGAAATCAAAGAATTGAAAACTGAAAGGCAATAAAGTAAGTCAATGAAACAAAAAACTGGTTCTTTGAAAAGACAATAAAATCGACAAACTTCAGCAAGATTGACATAGAGAAAAAAACATAAATTACCCATACCAGGAATGAAACAAGTGATAGCACTTCAGATCTTGAAGACATCAAAAGGATAATGAGGAAATACCATGACCGCTAAACAAATTACAAATTTGACAATTTAGGAGGAAAAAATTCCACAAAAAAACACAAAGCTATCCATTATAAAAGATAAATTTAAGTAGCCCCATAACTATTAAAGAAATTGTACTTTACATTCTCCCATCCCACCCCCCAATCTCTAGGCCCAGTTTCACAGAAAAATGCTAATATTTAAAGGATTAAGAAAAATTCTATATGATTCTACAGAAAATGGAAGAAAGAACATTTCCCAATTCATTTTATAAAGGTAGCATTATCCCAAAACCAAAGAAAGCCAGTAGGGAAAAACAGAAAAGAAAAAGAAAACATACTGGTCAAAGTCCTTCATGAACATACACAAAAATCATGACCAAACTATCAGCAAACAGAATCCTCTAATAAAGGCATACCCTGGAGTTATTTCAGGTTCTGTTCCATACAACCACAACAAAGCAAGTATCACAAGGCAAAATTTGGGGTTTCCCAGTGCATATAAAAATATTTATAAGTCTATTAAATGTGCGACAGCATATGCATATACCTTAATTAAAAAATACCTTATTGCTAAAAAATGCTAACCATCATCTATCTGAGCTTTCAGTGAGTTGTAATCACTGATCACGGATCACCATAACAAATAATGAAAAAATTTGAAATTATCATGGGAATTACCAAACTGACAGACTCAAAGAGAACAAAGGCTGTCAGAAAAATGGTGCTGGCAGACTTGCTTGCTGCACAGTTGCCACAAACCTTCAATTTGTATAAAAAAACAAACATGCAGTTATCCGTGAATCATAATAAAACAAGGTATGCCTATACATAAAAAGAATTATAGACCATGGCCAAATGGGGTTTAATTTAGGAATACCAGGTAGGTTTAATATTCAAAAATTATGTAATGTAATTCATAATATAAACAGGTTAAAGAAGTTACATGATCATATCAATCAATGCAGAAAGGGCAATGAAAATTCAATAACGCATCCATGACAAAAGCGATCAAACTAGGAATAGAAGGAAACTTATCTTGATAAAGAATGTAAACCAAAAGCCTACAGCTAACATTTAGGTGGTGAAAGACTGAATGCTTTCCTCAGAATTCTGGGGAAAAGGTAATATGCCAGCTGTCATTATTACTCTTACACAACATTGGCCTGGAACCTCAAGCCAGGGCAGTTAAGAAAAGGAAATAAAAGGCACACAGATCGAAAAGGAAGAAAACCTGCCCCGATTTGCAGATGACATGATTGTGGAAGTGGCTGGCCTATTTGATTGCTTCGCCATATTAGAAAAGGGATTCTCAAGTTTTTGCTTTTGCCTTTGTTAGTGTACCTGAAATGCCCAAACCCAACAAAAAAAAGGAATCCTTTTCAAATGTTTGACATTCTTCCTAAAATAATTTTCTCACATTTTGCGTACTGCTCATCGAGGTGGGTCTTAAATTTATTACGTACAACACACACAAATGTTCCACCTCTCAGAAGGGTAATATATAATCTATCAGAGTCTGCAGACCAGCTGCCAAGACTGGTATCTTGGCTCTGCCTCTAACTGTGTTGCCACCGTGAACAAGTTTCTTAACTTGTCTGCTCAGTTTCCTCAATTATATAATGCTGATCAACAGTACTTACCTCAAATGTGAGAACATGTGCAAATGAGAATAGCATCTGATGTAGAAAAGAGCTCAGTAAATGTCAGTTACTCCTATTATTGCAGATCTGTGAAATAAATGTCCTCATTTCCCCTTCATGTCTTCTTCTAGTCAAAGAATATGAACAACATGACTCAACAAAAATTTAATGTTTGAGGATTTTCATCCAAGAGCAAGATTATATATGACACAAATTAGGGAAGCAAACACAGAAAATATGCAGTAAAGAAAACTGGTTCGTATGGCAAAATATTCAACCTCACAAGTTATTGAGAAAGTGCTAGTTAAAACAGCAATGAAGTACCATTTTATAACTAGCAAATCAGAAGTAATAAAACTAATAGCCAGTGCTGACTGGGTTGTGGTCAACAGGTATGTGACCTTGCTGCAAGTGTGAACTGACTGGCAAACAATTTGCAATGCATTTGAGAGGAAATAAACTCCTGTCTGTCTCATATGTGGTATTAGACCTCCTGTACTTCAGCATTTACAGCTTTGTCTCCCTCTCCTCCCACAATGGACAAGAACTAACTCCAGATTCAATCCTTTCCGATGTGTTATCTGACATGAGAAGGAAGGATGAGAAATGTTAAAGCCAAGGCCAAGAACTATAAGCATATATAGAGGAAGGATAACATAAAGGAACTAATAAGACTCAAGTATCAAGAAGGGATGTGGGGCCAAAATAACATACTCAAGATGGGATTAGATCATATGAGGGCTTTCAAGATTCAAAGTTTGGAGACACTGCTCTGGCAATGTACCTAGAGATAACAGGACCTACATATAGTAATCTTATGGTGGGTGGTAGTGCTTCTTTTGAGTTCTTAAAGGAAATTCAACCTTTTGAACTGGAAAGCAGAAGACATTAAGAAATATAATAATCAACAAATTTTGAGTTCTTTTGGTAAAATAGATGGATCTTTTTATAAATGTATAAGAATGAAGGAAAATAAATACATTCTCATTCACCAATAGACTGTACTGATTGGACTATGAAAAGCCAGACAAAAATCTCTGAAAACAGGAGACTTCAGATAAATGTGGAGGGCAGCATGCAACAGACCTTCTCCCAGACTTCTATTAAAAACCGGTGAAGACTTTTGAAAAACTTAAGATTGCACAGACCAATTACTAAGCATATAGAAACATGATATCCAAACATCACTGAGTCTACATCAGGGCTCTGGCATTGTATCTTCACAGAACTAACCACAAACAGCTCCTGCATGCCTAACAGCATCCTTTGTGTTCCCATTGTTGGTCCAGATACTTGCTTTATAAGTCTTCCTTACCTAAATGACTTTCTTAACAACAGAAAACACACTAATATTACCTTAGGAATTAAACTAATTAAAAGCTGACTATCAGCTATATTTATCCTATAATTTAATTTCATGTTTCTTTGATTTTTTAATTTTGCAAACAGAATTTACCCACCAACCATGTATCTCAGGCTCCCCAATATATATATATAAAAGAATTGTGTAAGAAAACGTTTGAGGACATGCATAAAATCACAATCACAGTAATTGGACCACAGTTACACTAATTAAGAAGAGAGGAATCTATACTCATTTATAAGTGATTACATAAAGGAAGAGAAGATACGGGTTAAGTAACAAAACATTACATTTTTACATAAATAAGTAAAGCCAAAGTTCTTTGTTTAAAAAACAGGTCAAGGTGAAGGAGTAAATTTGTACTTTTAACTTCCAGATGTGGTCATTTGGGTCCTTTTGCCTTGGATGTGGTTTCCTTTGGAATCTTTCCATTTTGACACTGAGTAAATCTGGCTACTGTAGAAACACCATCCACAAACTTGGTTTTGAAAAGGACATTTGCATTGTTGAACATACCCTCCTTCAGTGACACCACAATGAACTTAAGGGAAAAAAAGAAAACATAAAAGATACTTCTTGTAATCTGAAGAAATGCACTCCTGTTTTTATTCTGGGGTTAAGAACTGTGTGGAGATATGCTGATTTTGTTACTTCTTTCAAAGCTTGGCTCAAAGCAAAGGCACCATCCTCAAATGCAAGTAACAAATAGTTCTAATATTGGGCACCTAGATGAATTCTAGCTTTCTAAATTTGGTTTTAGGAGTCTCTTAATTTTACCTGGAGTGCGTCATCACCCAGGTTTACTAATTCCTACTGCTTGTTGCTGTCCTCTGCAGCTAGCTGGCATCACTGTTTTGCTGCTAGCTCTAAATGCCCCGCTGAAATAGCCTTCTCTCTGATATTTTAAGAGTATCAAAGAAGGCTACTAGTTCCTACACGCACTACCACTAGGTCAGATGGAACATCTACAGAATTAAGAAAGGGTACCACTTCACTGTTACCTGCTAAAAAGACTACCATAATAATAGTCTGTGATAACTACGATAAGTGAAGCCCCCCGGAGTTGTACGGTGCATTATCAATATAACCATGTGTGGCAGCCCCAGTTCCTGCAGCAACAGTTCGATAAAAAACAAACTGTTCTTAAAGGGCTTTTCTCTATTTCCTACCCAGGAAAAATGACGAGTGCCCCCATCAAGTACCACATGATTTTCTGATTTCCTAAAACAGTCTTGCTTTGGGTGTGTATCCTCTGGCAGCTAGCTAGAGAAAAAAATAATGTTAAATTAATTCCAAATTATGGGAAACTTAAGATTCTCCCTCAGGGTACAACCAACAATGGTAATGCCTGGCTCTTTCTTTAATAGGAAACCAAACCTTTTTTCCTCCTATATCCATTTGAATGTAAGTATATGTAAATCTTCACTATATATTTAAAGAGATACACAATAATATTTCTCAATCCTAAATATCTTCATATTGGCCATTACTAAAGAACAGTTTCAGAAGAACAAATAACTAAAACTATCCCGGAGACGTCTTTTCTGGTTCTTACCTGAGAATGTGTGAAATGAGTACGCAGCATCTGTCCAATATTCTGGGTGTGAGAAAGGTCCAAGGCTGCATCTACCTCATCCAGGATATAAATTGGAGCAGGTTTGAAGAGGAGCATGGATAATATTAATGACAAAGCTACTAACGACCTGCAAAAAAGACCAAAAGAGAAGTTATCAAAAGTTGATTTTACCACTCTTTACCCAAACACGGAAGCAAATCTGCTATCCTCTTATTATGGAATAGTGCAGATTTAACTGAAAGATCACCATAGAAATAAAGAATCTTAAGTTTCAAACTTCAACATTTTTGCTGTATTAAAATGGTTCTCTTATTTTAGCTTTTCCTTTTTTCTCTTCAATGGAGTTTTATTTTACAGGTTTATATTCTTTCCAATCAAAGAATCAGGATAATTGGCACTTACTCTTAAGGAAAGATCATGTTAAGTATTCTCTTTCCTTCCCCAATTGCTGTTAGATGCCTAGGTAGCAGGCGAGTGAGGGCCATAGACTCACTGGTTGACAACCGCTAGTGCTTGGTGATACTGTAACTGGTTTAGGTGCCCTCTTTCAAACTTTTACTATGCATGCATCTATGAGTACCTACACACACATTCTTATTGGCACCATTTAAGAGTAAGTTGTATAGATTATAGCCCATGACTTCCCAGTGTCAGAAGTTCAAACAATTATTATGTGATGGTTAATTTTGTGTGTCAACTTACTTGGATTACGGAGTACTCAAATATTTGGCTGAACTTTATTTCTGGGTATGTCTGTGAGGGTATTTCTGGGTGAAATTTGCCTTTGAATTGGAAGACTCAGTAAAGCAGTTTGTCCTCTCCAATGTGGGTGGACATCACAGTCTGCTGAAGGACTCAATACTAAGAAAGGTAGAGGAAAGAATCTGTTTTTTCCTGCCTCATTACTTGAGCTGGGACATGGATATTCTGCCTCAGTGTTCCTGGTTCTCAGGCCTTCACACCCAGACTGAATTACACCACTGGCCCTCCTGGATTTCTAGCTTGCAGACAACAAATTGTGGGACTTCTCAGTCTCCACAATAAGACGAGCCAATTCCTTATTAAAAAACAACCTCTTCATACACATACACGCCCTGCTGGTTTTGTTTCTCCGGAGAACCCTAATAATACACCTTATTTAAAATTTGTAGTTAGGCATCTCAGATTCTATAGGTCTTTTTCAGTTCTCTTCTAGCTAACCATTCCCTGTAACTGTAGCTGGTTTTGTTCAGAATCCTAATAATTCTTATATTTTTTTCTTAAACGTTTTATTTAAAAAAGGCTTTTTTTTTTTTTTAAGGTGAAACCAAAATATCTAGCAAGGGAAATGTATGAAACAGTGCAAAAAACAGTGAGACTGACTCTACCTCAATAGAGGGGAGCTGAGGTCATACAAGCAACCTAAAATTATTTTTCATTGGCCTTCTCTGTGCCAAATGCTTATGGCACTGAGCTTTCTTCCAACTTAATTTTTCAGAAAAAAATATCTCACCAAGAGTTAAAACTACTGTGCTGGATATACATCTAAAATAATGGTATATATCTAAAAATAATTTTGTATCTTAATTATGGAAATAATTTTCAGGTCCAATAAGAAAATAAGCATACTAAATTTTAGGTTTTCCTCAAAATATTTTCTAGGACTTTGGCAAAAAAAGTTAGATATTGGGATCTGAACTGTGGAATTCAATTTTAACAGTCACCAGAATGTGTCTTATACTGTTAAAATATTTAGGAATCTTACAATGAAATAAATCAAGGGACCACTATTCTAATTATAAAAATGACAAAGGATTTCACAAGGAAAATGAACAGGTCTTAGTATTTTCTACATATGTAAGAGTAACATGATGGCATCATATGGCACATGAGAACAATTTAAGGACTAGGATTGCACATCCTGAAAGGGAAAAATAAATAATAACCATCTTTAATTAATGTGAATATTCACGATTTTCTCTTAGTAGGTTTTAATTATTTGGTTCTCTGCAGCAGGTAAGGAGGGAGGCCACATGACCTCTTAAGTTTCTCCTTAGTATGCTGATTATCTGAATTCACTCCTTTATGTAGATCCAAGTTTCCTTCTGGTAAATCCTTTTCCTTTCACCTGAAAACTTCCTTTAACTTGTACAGTTCTGCTGGGATCAAACTCCTCCAGCTTTTGCTTTTCTGAAAAAAATATTTATATTGACTTCAATTTAAAGAATATTTCAATTAGACATAGAATTCTTGGTTGACATGTTTTTCTTTTAGCACTTTCTAGATGTTGTTCCAGACTTCTGGCTTGTACAGTTTTGACAATAAGCCCGAAGTCATTTTTCTCTTTGTCCCTTGCTGCTTTAAGATTTTTCTAATCATTGGCATATAAAAATCACAATTTCATATAACATGCTTTGCTATGTTATTGTATGTATGTGGGGGGGGGGCAGGGGATGTGTTTATCCTACCAAGTGTTCACAGAAATGAAGATTGTGGGTTTATAGAACTCATCAAATTGGGAAAATCTGGGGCCATTATTTCAAGTATTTTTCTGTTTTGCCTCTTCCTTTCTTCTTGGAACTCCAAATACACGTATGTTAGATGGCTTGATAGTCACTGAAGCTCTGTTTTTATAGTTTTGTGTTTCTTAGTTTAGCTTTAATAGTTTCTATTTGCTGTGCCTTCAAAGTCATTCATGTTTCTTTTACACTGTCTAATCTGTTAATGTCATGTGGTGAACTTTTCCTTTCAGGCATATTTTTTTATCTCCAGAAATTCCACTAGGTTCTTTTTCCCCTGTAATTCTTGGAAATAACTAACATAATTCTATAACTTCCTTGTCTCCTATTTTTATCACCTGCCACTTCTGGGTCTGTTTCCATCGAATAATTTTTCTCTAGGCTATAAGTCACATTTTCTTGATTTCTGTCCAGTGCTTTTTATCAGATGCCAGACACTGTGTTATGTTAGAGTCTCAAGTTACATGAGGATCAGCTTGCTCTCTTCAGGGTATGTGATGAACTCGGCTGTGTGTGTAGAGTAGCTTTCACTTCGGGAACAGTACAGACTGAATGCTAAGCAGGGGCCTCCCAAAATTCTAATCTGTTTCTTTAACTTAGTGAGACTACTAGGCTTCATATGGATTCCCCTCCCTGCACCTGCAAACCAGAAATTCTCCTATGGAGAAAGCTGGGGTGAACACTGAGCTCAGCAGTTTTGTTTCATTGCTCTCAGGTATCATATTCTTGGCCTATTCATTTCCCAAAGTCTGAAAACAGTTGTTTTTCATATATTTTATCTAGTTTTCTAATCGCTTACCCTTATTTCTCCTTTGTTGCCTACTATCTTAAAGGTTTATTTATTTATTTGAGAGAGAGCATGCACATGCAAGCGGGCGGAGAGGGAGAGAATCCCAAGCAGACTCCCAACTGAGTGTGGAGCCCAATGTGAGGCTCAATCCCATGACCCTGATATCATGACCTGAGCCGAAATCAGGTGTTGGATGCTCAACCAAGCATCCAGGCGCCCCTGTTGCCTATTATTTTAATCAAATGTTTTTTTAAAAAATCTGCAGTCTTACATATAAAGCTCCTTAAATTCTACATGTAAAGATTACCTACCAATTTTCAATTTTGTTTTGCTTAGCTGTGAGATCATGATGGATTATAATACAATAAGAGGAATGAGAAATTATAATACTGCAAAGGGATTGCTTACCTCTGACCACCACTAAGTTCTGTTAGGTTTTCTTTCCAAGTATTTCCTAAAGCAACCTTGAACTCCAAACCATCCAATACAGTTTGCCCCTCTGGTGGTGCAAGCATAGCATTAGCACCAGGCAAGAGAGTAGAAAAAATAGACCCAAAGTCCTTGTTCACCTGGATTTAAAAAAAAAAAGATTAAAATAATATAGAAAGCTTTCCAAGAATAATCAAATGTTGGTATGTATATATTCAATCTAGCAGATGCATTTTGTTGTCTGTTACTAACTCAGGTTTTGACATATTATGGCCCATGTGACAAATCTGGCCATGCCCATTCATTTATATACTGTCTATGGCTGTTAGCACTAAAACAGTAGTCTAGTAATTGCAACAGAGACTATATGGCTCACAAAGCCAGAAATATTTATTACCTGCCCCTTTACAGAAAAAATTTACTGGGCTCTGCTCTAACTTCCAAGGGGAACTACAGGCTATACTTCTAACTCTATCCTGGAATTCTGATACTTTTGTAAGCTATATTACAGGAATCTTCAGAGACACACAACTGTATAATATAGGAAACTGAAGTTGCAGTTGGGAGAGGCAGAAAAGGAAAACTCTCTTTTGGCATAAAATGTTCTCTTATAAAACTTGTTTTCTGACTGTTTTGATAGGCCAGTGGTTATCAGCCAACCTTAAAAAGCCTAAGATCAAGGTGAAGTCTAGGAAAAAAAGAGGCATGAAATCAAACCGCCAGATCTGTTCAAGGTGTTGAATGGTCCTTTTCTGTAGGCTTCTTCTCAGCCAAAGAAGTTGTCAAAAGACAGGAGCAGGACTGGACCCCAACAGAAAAAGGCTAAAGAAGCTGTCTGGTTTATCCCCATTAAGCCACAGATTTACCTAGAGATTTAAGTCAATATTTGAATTGTGATTGGGTAATTTCTGTGCATACACACTTGATCAATGATTTGAGAATTTTCAAATACACAATAATCTTAGAGTTCATCAAATTTGAGTGTGTACATTCACAGGCACAAATCCATGAGGATCTGACAGTCATGTTCTCCAAAGAAATCCCCAAATTCAAGTGCATGAATATTGGTACTAATGAGATCCAGATACAATCAAGCAGTGCTACTGAATATAGATGTATTAAGGAATACAGTTTTAAGAGCAACTGCATTACATGCTGAGTAATATTCTACACAGAGTTAATAGGTTTTAGTTTTATCTGGGATAGATTTCTAGAGCTAGGTGAGGTTCATCACAACGGAGAGGACCACTGTCTTTTTTGGGAATGATAAAGATAGCAGCATTTATAAACACCTTTGGTTCTTTTTCTTTTCTTTAATTTTTTGGCCAGGCAAGAGAAAAGCACTAAACAGAGGATTAAAACAGTAGACTACTACTAAACCCTTAACATGACCATGGATACCATGTGGAAATTCCTCCAAAGGGTAAAAGAGAAACTTATCAGTTAATGGGCAGAGAAGAATACAGCCCTATTCAAGATAGAAAATGCACTACATTCATGGACAGATATAAAGGTGAAATGCAATCAAATTCTGAAAATCCAATACGTTAAGAAGGAAACAGAAAAATAAACATAGCCAATGCCGAAAATACTCTGGCTTTCTGAATGAAGTGTGCTAGAAGCCAGAAGGAAATATATAATGCTAATAATAACACTACTACCTCAATAGGTTATTGTGAGGATTAAATGAGAAAATTAATATGAGAATGGTACTTCACATATAGTAAGTATTCAATAAATTTACCTGCTTTGAGAGAACCTTGGAAATTGGGGGAACATCAATTTAAAGGATAAATCTGTACTTGCACTAAGTCCAGGACTCATGGGGAAAACAAGAGACAAAACCTCTCAGATCCAGTGTTAAGTCCACATTTATACAAGAATAATGGGACCAACTTTTTGCATGTATTTTAAAACAAACACCACAGAGAGATGGAACACTGAAAATAAGTTATAGAGTAGTAAAAACAAGGTGACTAAAAGGGATAATTATGCTGCCATTACTGAAAATGAATTTTTCAGAATTATGAATAATTAGAGAATTAAAAAGCAAAAAAAGAGGCGAGGTGCCCAATTAAATCCCAGAGGCATGGGACTGTTGAAGTACCAAACAGCACGGTAACTATGTTTGGAATCTTTTGGCTGAGAGTCTTTTGCTAGGACAGATACAGGAAAACTTCCACATAAGAGGCTAAGGAATTATCCTACAGGAGACAAATACATGCAGTCAGGGAAGTAGAAATAATAGTAAAGAATCTTGAAATCTGCCAAAGTTGTCATAAGATAAAACAAAAAAGGCACTTAGGATTTTGCTGAATGACAGTCCAGTGAAAGAATTCTAAACTTCCTTGCTTACTGCCCTTTTAAGGGCAACAAGGGCGACAGCAGTTAGCAACTAAAGGCAATTTTAACTTTGGTTCTAATCTAGAAAAAGAGAATTCCAGTTTTTCCACCTTTGGCTATATGATCTTAGGCTATTTCAACTTTCTAGGCTTTGATTTCTTCATCTATAAAATATGGATGGCTAACTATCAGTTATGGAATTGTTAATTTACGTATAAAATGCTTTGCTAAAAACCTACAGAATGCATAATTATGAATTCTGAAATGCAGTTAATAACTTGTAAGTGGTAAGGAATATGCCAATCTTGTTAGAGTAATGTTCTGCGAAGGAATATTTGACTTCTTTGAGCCTGGGCCAGAGAAACCAAGGAAGTTAGAACCAAAGGGGTCCTTGGGAGGTGCTTTCCAACAAGCAGAGCTTCCCCAGTGCGAAACTGAGACTGCTTCCAGCTCCCAGCAGTGGGGTATGGCAGAAATCGGACAGAATCTAAGGTTTCAGACAAATGGTATCTCCTTTGAAAGTAACACAGACGTGGAAACAAGGTTAAGAATGAAAAATAAAGAAATCTAGAAAGTTAGAAATTTAATATAACTTAGGAACCAGAGAAGTAGACTATGAGAGTATGATGGAAGGACACAAATTTACCTTTGCAAATCGGTAGCAGTCAAGTCTAGAAGGTTTTAATTAAAGCATGAGTGTGTGCAAATCATCCATTTTAAATTCATCTCAGTGTACTACTGACCATTCTTCATCCTTTCCTCATATAGAATAAATGATAATATTTTTGGTTCAAATACCTTTTGCCAAGCAATATTTAGGGCTTGGTTTTTCTTCTGGTCAAGGTCTTCTATAGTTGCAAGGATTTTGGATTTGTCATTTTCTACAATTCTCTTCTTCTTCATCAAGTCATTATACTAGTAAGATAAAAAGCATACTTAATTGGAAAAATATAAAATTTTCTTTATATTCTAGAATTCAGTCAGGATTAGAGGTTTAATTTTTATATATAATATGTACACTTCTGTGTAACAAAGATATACTGCGTTAAGAGTTATAATGTAAACCAAATCATGAAAGTAAATAAATCACCTATAGGTAAAATTTAGTTGCTATTGAGAATTTATAGGACAAGCTCCTGAAGTATTTTGATTCCACTAATACACCAGATCTTTCTAACAGCCAAGGCAAAAAAGAAAATGTGTCGTATGTAAACTCAAAAGTAGCCCTAGCATGCTTTCTTTTTTTTTTTATTTATTTTTTATTCTTATGTTAATCCCCATACATTACATCATTAGTTTTAGATGTAGTGTTCCATGATTCATTGTTTGTGCATAACACCCAGTGCTCCATGCAGAACGTGCCCTCCTCAATACCCACCACCAGGCTAACCCATCCTCCCACCCCCCTCCCCTCTAGAACCCTCAGTTTGTTTTTCAGTCCATCGTCTCTCATGGTTCGTCTACCCCTCCGATTTCCCCCGCTTCATTCTTCCCCTCCTGCTACCTTCCTCTTTTTTTTTTTTCTTAACATATATTGCATTATTTGTTTCAGAGGTACAGATCTGAGATTCAACAGTCTTGCACAATTCACAGCGCTCACCAGAGCACACACCCTCCCCAGTGTCCATCACCCAGTCACCCCATCCCTCCCACCCCACCCCCCGCTCCAGCAACCCTCAGTTTGTTTCCTGCGATTAAGAATTCCTCAAATCAGTGAGATCATGATACATGTCTTTCTCTGTTTGACTTATTTCACTCAACATAATACCCTCCAGTTCCATCCACGTCGTTGCAAATGGCAAGATCTCATTCCTTTTGATGACATGCTTTCTTCTTAAGGTCAGTTTTAGCAGTGACACAAAAGTTCAATTCCTCATCATGATGTATGAGTCCTACATAATTTGGCTCTTACTTATCTGACTTTTTGGCATCCCACTCCTCCCCAGGCTCCAGCCATATGGTCTTCTTTTCAGTTCCTTGAACATAAGAAGCTCATTATAGCCTTCTAGCCCCTGCATTGTTCTCTCTTCCCAGAATGCTCTTTCTCTGTATCTGACATAATTGGTGCCTCAAGTTTCAGCTCTAACAGCACATCTTCCCAGATTGGTCTTTTCCTGGTTAATGTAGAAACTCACTGAAAAAAATTTGAGGGAGGCTGCAGAGGGATAATTACACCATGAGAAGCAGCAGCACTTTCTAAAAATTGTCTTAGCTCATTTCTCCTCAAAGCTTCAAAGGAGGCTTCAAATCCTCCCTGAAAAGTTCTAGCCAGTCCCGCTCGCTTCCTTGCTGTCTCTCTGCTTGATGGCCAAGCTCCTAAAACTCCTCTCTGCAATTTTCTCTTATTCCTTGCATAATTCCATGTAGTTTCTTATTTGGACGAACACAAAATAGAACAAAACAAAAGGCCATCTTACTGAACGACAGAGCCTTTCCTTCTGGTAAGGAAATGGGAGTTGGAGAATTCTTTTAAAAAATATTAGACCAGTTTTCATTATCTAATAAAAGCAAACAAGTGAATAAGTTTCACAATATGCAGTTCAAATTCAGACCAAAGATTTCTCCTCCACAAATATGGCATATATTGCGAAGCTTTAATGGAGAAATAAAAACCAGGAACATTTTATAGATAGATCACAACATGAGCGTTATTAGCCTACTTGGTATCTAACATTATATTCTTTGTAGACACTAATGTCAATAACAGTTACAAAAAACCCCATTATAGCAAAACTTCTTAAAAGTAATTGAACTCATAAGTATTACCACTTTTAGAGAGCTCTCATAACTCTATGATACAAATTCAAACAGAATTTTGCAAAATTAAAGGTGGTATAAGGCATAACAAAATTACTCAGCTATTTCCTATGGAGCTGTCAAGAATACGGACTGCTTTCCCCTGTGGATTTTTCTAGCAACATGGCAGACTATAAAAGTTTTGTCAGGGTTGGGGAGATGGATAACATTATCAAGTAAGTGAGCATTAAAACAGAAGACGCTGCTGGACTTAGAGATTAATAGAGGAATTTATGCATATAACAATATTAATCATTACTTAGGTAATGGTTCTAGTATACCCTAGAGTCAAAAGGAAGACAATAGTTATGGAATGACTGGTAAGGAGGCAGATAGCAGAGTACACCTTATTTTTCAAAGCCCTTTCAAGGCAAGTGAAAGAAAAGATAGAAATGTGAGAAGTTGACTAGAACAAAAAGTAGAGTTTTTACTTACACCAAGAATAAGAAAAGGGTAGAATATGTTTGTGGCAAAGCCAATAGAAAAGTTATTCAAGGTACAACAGAATATATAAATAATTGATGATGCAAAACAATGAAATAAGAAAGAACTGAAAAAGAAAGGGAAAATAGAAAGAAATTCGGTATCAAGGGCATCAAGCAACAGATTTCCTCTAGTACTTGTTGCCGGGGTCCTAGATAGCCATTGAAGCTACTCGGGTGGCCGGTCCAAGGAAAAGGACTTACCCGCTCTTCAGCTTCTGTCAGAACATTCATAGCTCTCATGTTGACATTTCTCCCCAGTTTCTCCTTCATTTCTTGCAACTTCTGAAGTCTCTGACCAGCTTCTTTTGGGTTGTTGGTTTTGAAATCATAGGCACTATTAGGTTGCCCAAAGAGGTGTTTCTCTGCATTAATCCAGTCATAGTCTTTCAACATTTTGGAGACCTAGCCACAGAGGATAATAGAAGCATCTATCATTGTTTGCAAATGGACATTTAGAAAACGAGTTTCTTGGGGCGCCTGGGTGGCTCAGTCGATTGAGTCTCTGACTCTTGATTTTGGGTCAGGTCATGATCTCAGGGTCCTGGGCTCTGAGCTCAGCAGGGAGTCTGCTTGAGGATTCTCTCCTTCTCCCTCTGTCCCTACCCCTGCTTGTGCTCTCTCAAAAGTTTCTTAAATATTTAGTAATTTTAAATCAATGACTCATTTGTAAAAATGAGGTTCACTGTGAACAGTAAACCTACACTAAGTATGAATATTTTTACCTGGAGGATAGGCTCAAAAAAAAGATCTTCCCATTACTTAAGCACTGAAAGAATAGCCAGCCAGCTCAAATTTATACAAAGTATATGTAAAACACCTCCGTTAGAATGAAATATAAGTCAAACTCAATCAATTGCTTCAAAAACAACTTGTGAAAGTTAAAATTCTTATAGGAATACTTAAGTCATAGATTTGGTAAATTTATGGAAGCCTAATCCTGACTGACAATTCTGAGAATTATTAAATAAATAAAAAACTCCCTAAACATTGACTCCATTCCCTTAGCCGCTCCCTTTTAACAAGGCACAGTAATGTACTTTATATATTATAAACAGTTAAAAATTTTAAATTATAGTGCTTAAGGAAGACTTTCTTCTACTAAAATTGTTTAAGGTTGGTTCTGACTGGTAGAATCGAATCCTTGTCCATTTGTTTGTCCTTATTAATTCCATGGGTACTGTCTCACCTCCAGGCTCCAAAGAGGATCCTTTCCAGTCTGCCTTCCCTGCTGATCCATAAGCTCTATGAAGGCATTCTGGGTACATGTTGCTTATCCTTATCTTCAGGGCCTGGCTACTATCTGATACTACTTCGTATGCAATAAATATTTGATAAATTATATACTTCAAAGAATCCTTGACTTTTTAGCAGTTCCACTTGTGAGTCTCCTTTTCACTTCCTTAACTGTAAATAAAATCCCCCAGCAATCACCACTACTGGCATTTTCAATTACAAAAAACTATTAACAATATTAACATTGGTAATATTTCAGTGAATCCACTAATATTAGGCTACCAGCCTAATGGGAAATCGACAATAAAATATTAGGATATTAATGATGTGGCTATGAAAATATTTGTATTTTTTAAATTAAGGAACAAACCTGAACAGGCACACTTGGCTCTTTCAGAGGGTAGGGTGACTGTTTTGTATGTTCTGACTTTTTTGAAGTTAAATCTCTTCTACTTTTAAGGTGCTAAAGAAGATTTAAAAGGCACCAAACTGTTACACACTCATCAGAAAACATGATGGGTGAATTACTAAGACTTCATGGGTACAGCCTCTTAACCAAGCAATGAATTTCTGCAAAAGCATGTATTCTTTTTAAAGTATTTAAGACACTATGATACATAGAAGGAAGAAACTTTTTAAGAGTGACCAAAAACTGAGATAACCTCAAAAAGATAGCTGCTTAGCAAAACATCAGATTTCAGGGGTGCCTGGGTGGCTCAGTCATTAAGCGTCTGCCTTTGGCTCAGGTCACAATCCCAGGGTCCTGGCATCAAAACCCACATCAGGATTCCTGCTCAGCGGGAAGCCTGCTTCTCCCTCTCCCACTCCCCCTGCTTGTGTTCCCTCTCCCACTCCCCCTGCTTGTGTTCCCTCTCTCACTGTATCTCTCTCTCTCTCAAATAAATAAAATCCTTGAAAAAAAAAAAAATCAGATTTCAGATGAGGCTGCAAAATTGACTGTACAGATCCTCACAAGGACATCCGGAAGCCAATTAAGTCCTTATTTTAGAAGGTGCCTGTATATATATTTCTCTGAGTTTTTAATTCATTTTGAAATTATACTATTACTATTAATATATTAATAGTTCTATGAATATTTGGGTATTAAAAAATGGTCAGTTCCATGGGAGACCACTATTCAGTAAAACATCTTGGAGATAGGAATACCTGAAATTTAGAAACAAAACATTTATGCCATTTGGTGAAAATGAACATTGCTGAGAAGCCGTTAAAATAGCTGTAAGCCTCAAAATTATGTTACACAGTTCTGCCATTTTATTGAATTCTTCATTGAGCAGTTTACCAGAATATTTCAACAACTTAGAAGTAAAAATCTGATTATGGGTAAAAATAAACAACAGAAACGTGCCTTTGCAGCAGCATCTTCAGCTTCCCGTTTATGTTTGCTGATGTTGTGGTCCAGTTCCTTAATTTTAAGCTGAGAATCATTGTTTTGTTCCTTATGTGTTGCTACTTCGCCATATTTAGCTTTAATTACGTTGTCTTGGGCTGTTATCACTTCTTTTTGCTTGGTCACCTCTTCTTGGGCTTTATTTACAGACTCCTGAAACATAATTCAAAGACAACATATAGCAAGGTAATATGGACCTATTTTTAGTTTATTAAAAGATCTAACAAACTTTAGGGCAAGATGGGAATCTGATTACAGGCAGATGGTCACCTAACCCTCTACATTTCATATCCCCATTAAAATGGCTAATTTACATACAGGAGAAAACTTGTTTTACCACTAGAAATACGATGCGTTGCAGTGTTCATGCTGGAAGCAACAAAGTTTCTGCTGGATACAGCTTAGTTGGGATCAACTTGCAGAGGGGAGGAGAGACTATAGCAATCTGACTTTTGAGGTCTCAGAAAAGTGGCATTTTTTGGTACTTAACAAGAAGATAATATGACAGATCCCCAAATATCATTTACCAGGAGGGGTAGAATGTGGGCTGGGGCTTTCTACTTTTCCCTTCTATAGTTATAAGCCATATTTACCAGTGACAATGGAAGGTCATAATGTTTGGTTCTAGCACAAGGGTCAAAACAGAAAAATAAGAGAGAAACTTTCTGAATAAATAGATCTGTGGCACAAAGAAAAACTTTCTTGCTTTGATTTTTATTTTCCCCTACTTCCCAAGGCTGAAGCTACTCAATCTCCAAAGTGGTAATTATAACTGCAGTTCAGTCTATCACTAATCCTCTGCCCCACAAACCCCTTTGCTTCATCTTAGATCTTAAAAGAAATCACAAAAATATCTAAACCAAAAAAAACCTAGTTCAACTCATATTTAGGTAGGGGGAAAACCTAAGTAAGACAACTTGCTTCAAGCATCTGAGGAAGAACGGTTCTTCATGATGAAAAGCACAAATAAAAAATCTAGCAGTATTTTAGGCATGCTCATTAGGAAATTATCATTTTGAGCAACAAAGAATACTTAATGTTATGGTTAGGTTATTGAATGTTCTCAAAGTGCTTTAAATTCCTTGTAATGTTTAAACTGTGTCATTAGAGGGTCTTTTGAGGAAGGAAAATAAATCATGGCATTCATATAAAGACCTAAAGATATTTTAGCTTTTTGAAACCTTTGAAGAACAAGAAAAGCAAGTGAAAAATACTCTGGTGATATTAACCAAAGGGAAAAATAACAGACACAGGTTTATTAACTAACAAACACCGTATGTAAAAAAAAAAAAAAAACATGTTTATGAAGATTCTCTCAGGGCTACAGGTTAAAAATTGCATTGCAGGGGCACCTGGGTGGCTCAGTAGGTTGAGTGTCTGCCTTTGGCTCAGGTCATAATCCCAGTGTCCTGGGATGGAGCCCTGCATTGGGTTCCCTGCTCTGTGGGGCGCCTGCTTCTCCCTCTCCCACTGTAGCTACCCCTGCTTGTGCTTGCTCTCTCTCAAATAATAAAATCCTTAAAAAAAAATAGTTTTGACTATTTTCATCTTTTTTATAATAGAAATCTGTCACTAAGGTTGAGCAGAAATGAAATTTTCATTTTGTCTAATTAGTTATAGGCAGTTTCTTTTCTTAGCCTCCTGGGAGTGTCCTTTGATACTCTCATCAAGGAAAGGAAACAATTTAGAATGCAGAGCCTGAAAGAACAACCTTTAAAAACTAAGTGATCCATTTTATACTTTTCCATAAAGAGAAATGGAAATAGGTACATGTTCTAATTTTGACTTTATTTAGATTGAGAAAGGAGTACCTAACTATTTTCACATTTATTTTGGAAACACGTATCTAATTTTTAAATGCTACATGAAAAATATGAGATTAAGACAACAAATCAGAAAAAAAACTAAAGATAGTTTTAAAAAATGAAAACTTACTTTGGAGGCAAAATAGAAACTGAACAGAAACTAGAAAATTTAATCAGCAACACAAAAACACAAAGTTGAGAAGCATTTTGATCTCTTAATTTCAAAAAAAGAGTAAAAACTGTTATTCTAGTGATATGACAATGTGCTACAAACAAAAAAACTTGAATTTAGCCAAGAGGAGGATCAAGAGGAAAGACCTACTTTCCAAAATACCACATACTATAACATTAAAATAATCATTTCAAAGGAAAAACATAAAATGTAGAAGTAGACGACACAAGTAAGGCAAAAACACCACAATAAACGTCAAATGAACGCAACTCTCTTTTCAAAAGCTATCTACATTCAGTTACAATGAAAATGAAGGATATTTACCAATAGTATCAATAGCAACATGACAGAAAACTTTAACAGCATGGTGACTATCATGATACCGTACTGTATATTTAAAAGTTGCTGAGAAAGATTGTAACAGTTCTGATCACAAGAAAAAAAAATTATAACTGTGTGGTGACAGATCTTAATTAGACTCACTGGGGTGGTCATTTTGCAATATATACAAATAAATCATTATGCTGTACTCTTGAAACTAATACATATCAATTATACCTCAATATGAAACAATTCAAAGTCAAAATCAAAGAAAGGGACAAGAGAGTAGCCAATATTCAGGAGGAACAATCTCTAATAAAGACATACCACAATATGAATTTGCAGGTGACAGAATGTCTAACATGGGAAATCCCCTCAGCCCTAAATCCTTTACTTCCCCGCTTCTGATATCAGAACATTTCTCCCCCACCAGCAGCAACTATAGTCAGCCTCACCAGTAAAGGATGCTGTAGGGAAACTGTAGAAAGAGGTTTTACATCCCAGTTCTGGCATGCTTTTCTCAAAAGCAAGTTTGTCATGTGCCAGGGCTAGCAGCTTGCATGGCTGTCCCAACATCAAGCGGGGGGCGGGGCGGGGGGGAGAGGAGAGGAGAGCGGGGCTTTGCAGCACGTTCACATGGCCAATGCCCCTGGCATCCCATGTGGCATTTCAAACTTCACCACCAGGGGGCCACAGTTATGTCTTCTCCAACTAGATCCGGTTTGCAGCCCTACAAAGTGCAATGAGGCTCTTTGCCAGATTTGTTCCTTCCATGGGTGAACTTCCTCAGCCCTACTCCCCATATCTGCTGCTCCTATATCATTGAACATTCTCTTTACTCTTTAGTGACCCAGCACACATCATTCCAAACTCCTATTGCAGTTTTTTAAACTTAGCCTGTTCGAATTACTGTGTACTTTTTGTCTTCAGAGTAGAGCCAGACTAAAACAATTAGTATTATTTCAGGACTCTTTCTGGATCAGTAATCACTGTTTTTGCCTCTCATCAACACAAGAATGAAGAGATTGAGACCTCTAAAGTCAAATATCTTCAAGCCAACATTTTGTAAGTGATTAACATTTGCTATTTCTCCAATATGGTAAGTAAACATTACCTTATTTTTAGCCACCTCAGCTGCCATTACTTCAATCTGTACTTCGTAGGATTTGATAGCTTCATTTACAGCTTCAAGCTGTTGCTTATAGGATGCGTGCTCTCTCTTGAGCTCTTCCAGCTCCAGAGTGATAGCTTCAACTTCCTATAAGAAATCATTATCTACACATTCAACAGGCTATTAATTACTGAAAAATGAATACATACATATCAACAAACTTTGTAAGATTCTCATTCAGGTAAGACCCACAGCGTAGTTATTCAACTACCAAAACACATGTAAGCTGTTTCCCCTGAAGAAAGGAGAAAGGAAATTTATTTTCCTATACTTAAAAAAAAATGATGACAAACATATGTAGTTTTTACAGGTTCAAAGAATTTAGCATAAACTATTTCCTTTATCCTTTTATTCCTACAGAGAAAAATACAGAATTCTACATAAGAGATAAATTAGCAGAGGAAAAGCCTTTTTTAAAACAATTATTCAATGTAAAAAAAAATAGTTTCTCAATTTTCTTCTTTCCCATTATACTCTTTAGTTCGTTAGAAAATACTCTGTGCAGGTTTTTAGTGACAGAATATGAAGAAAAATAGATTTAAATAAAATCATCTAGAAAAGCGAGCACAGCCTTTGGAGACAGAAAAGGCTAGGTTCAAATTTCAGCTTTGGCACTATCCAGAAGATAAAAGCAGTTATCACCACCAGTCTACAACTGAATGGCACTTTGTAAAGTAACATGCTTTGTCTTGTATCTATCTTTCACAGTATCCATTCACATAGATGATCACCTAATAGAAATGTCACCACTCAAGCCGATAGGACATAGCTCTACTACAGGATACAAGCTTTGGTCTACTCTTAAGTGAAGCATTTACAAAAAGGCAATTTTGCTCTTTCTCTAAAATTAGCAAGACATTGCAACCCATCCTTATGACATTCATTAAAAGGTTTTCAGCAAAATGACTTAGAAGATGAATACTTTATTTCCTAAAGAACCATAGTGTGCTTTTAGATGTTGTGAATACTGATGAATAAGGCCACCTTCAGCTCTATATTGACAATAGAAGATTGGTTCCACTTCAAGAAAGGTTATTACCTGTTGTTTTTCTTTCATTTTCTTACTAGAAGCATCTGCTTTCGTTTTGGCAAAATCCAGTTTTTCCTGAGCATCCTTCAGTTCTTGCTCCCTTTCAGCCTCTGCATTTTTCATTTTATTCTCCAATACTTCATATTTTTCTTCTGCTTTTTTCTGAATTTCTTTGGTATTTTTTAAGGTCTCCTCACTTTCCTCTGCATCATAAAGTAGGCAAATGTGGCTTAATGAGGTCCTCCAACTATTAGTAGTTACAGGTAATGGTTTATTAATGCCTTATAAATGCATCTTTTAATAGAAGAAATGGTCTGAAAAATTGGAGGCTAAAATTTAAAAAAATTAACTGTTCCAACCTTATTCTAGAAATGTTATGTTGAAACACAGATCCTAAGAGCCATACTTGAATCATCTAAAGATCTATGAAGAAAGTATTTCCAAGCATATGAACTTGAGGAACATAATAAACTTTACCTGCAACTTACTTAAAAGATCACAGATCATCTTTTTAATACCTTTAGTACGCTTCTTAAACCAGAATCGACAGTATAACTATGGTATTTTCCCCTTACTTAATTGCCAAAGGCTTACAGTTAATTTCATAAATAAGCTTATGTTGTATTCTTTGCTCATTTATGCCTTTTCTTAAAGCAGAGAAATACTGAGAAAACTTTTCTAGGATGAAGCATAGGAGAAATATCTCTAATTTACAAAGAAAAAAATAAAACCAAGATAAAATGAGCACATTACTGTTACAACTGCCATACACTGTTTTAGAATGTAGATACAAATATAACCCTGGAGACCATGACTACACAATGTCCTATACTACTTTTCAGTGCATAATATCACTATAAGAAATCAAAGAAAATTTTTAAAAAATACCTTAAGACAAATGAAAATGGAAATACAACATACCAAAACTTAATGGGATGCAGCAAAAGCAGTTCTAAGAGTAAAGTTTATAACAACTGCCTACATTAAGAAACAAGAAAAATCTCTAACAATCTAACTTACATGTAAAGGAACTAAAAAACAAACAAAAAACAAAGCCCAGGTTAATAGAAGGAATGAAATAAAGATCAGAGCAAAGGTAAAATGAAAGAGACCAAAAAATAATAGAAAAGATCCATGAAAGTAAAAGCTAGTTCTAAGAAAGAAGGAATCGACACACTTTAAGCTAGCCTAAGAAAGGGCTCAGATAAAATCAGAAAAACAAGGAAGACATTACAACTGATACCACAGAAATACAAAGGATCCCAAGAGACTACTATGAACAATTATATACCAAGAAATAGGACAACCTAGAAGAAAGAGATAAATTCCTAGAAACCTACAACCTACAAAGACTGAATCATGAGAAACAAAATCTGAACAGACCAATTAGTAATTGGTAAGGAGATTGAATCAGTAATCAAAAACCTCTTAACAAACAAAAGCCCAGTACCAGATGGCTTTACTGGTGAATTCTACCAAACATTCAAAGATTTAATACCTATCTTGAAGTCTTTCAAAAAACAGAAGAGGAGGGCACACTTCGAAACTCATAAGGCCAGCATCACCCTGATACCAAAACCAGACAAGGACACCAGAGGAAAAAAAAATTATAGCCTAATAACCCTGATGAACCCAGACACAAAAATCTTCAGCAAATATTAGCAAACTGAATTAAACGATACATTAAAAGGATGATACACCGTGATCAAGTGGGATTTATTCCAAGGATGCAAGGCTGGTTTAACATCTGCAATCAATATGCTACACCAAATTAACCAAATGAAGGATAAATAGCATGTTTTCAATAGATGCAGAAAACATTAGACCAATTTCAACATCCATTTATGGTAAAACTCAACGAAGTGGATATAAATGAAATGTATCTCAACATAAAAAAGGCCATGCAAGACAAGCCCACAGCTAACATCGTACTCAATACTGAGAGGCTGAGTTTTTCCTCTAAGATCAGAAACAAGACAAGGAGGACTCTTGCCACTTTTACTCAGCATAGTACTGGAAGTCCTAATCAGAGCAATGAGGCGAAAGAAAGAAAGAAACAAAGGCATCCAAATTAGAAAGAAGTTAAACTATCTCTATTTGCAGATGACATATTATATACAGAAAATCTAAAGACTCCACTAAAAAACTGTCAGAACTAATAAATTCAGTAAAGTTGCAAGATACACCAATGTACAAAAATCTGTTGCATTTCTATATACTAATAATGAACTGTCAGAGAAATTAAAAAAAAACAATCCTATTTATAATTGCATCAAAAAGAACAAAATACGAAGGAATAAATTTACCAAGGAGGTAGAAAGTTGTGTACACAGAAAACTAAAGCACTGATAAAAGAAACTGAAGAAGGCACAAATAAATGGAAAGATCTACTGTACTCATGGATTGGGAGAATACTGTTAAAATGTTCAGACTACCCAAAGCAATCTGCAGATTTGTTGAAATCCCTATCAAAATTGTAATGGCATTTTTTCAGAAATAAAACAATCCTAAAATCTGTAGGGAACCATAAAAGATCCTGAGTAGCCAAAGCTATCTTAAGAACAACAAAGGTGGAGGCATCATACTCCCTGATTTAAACTATAATACAAAGCTTTAGTAATCAAACAGTATGGAATTGGCATTAAAAACAGACACATTGATCAATGGAACAAAACGAGCCCAGGAATAAACTCATGCATGTATGGTCAATTAATTTATGACAAAGGAGCCAAGAACATGCAATGAAGGGACAGTTTCTTCAATAAATGGTGCTAGGAAAATTGGACAGCCACATGCAAACGAATGAAACTGGACCACTACCTTATACTACACATAAAACTTCACTCAAAATAGATTAAAGACTTAAATGTAAGACCTGAAACTATAAAACTCCTAGAAGAAAACATGAGTGAAAACCTCCTTGGCACTGGTCTCAGCAGTGATTTTTTTGGATTTCACACTAAAAGCAAACGCAGCAAAAGCAAAGATAAGTGGACAATATCAAACTAAAAAGCTAGAGCAAAAAAACCCATCAACAAAAGGCAACCTAACGAATGAGAGAAAATATCTGCACATCATTTATCAATAAGGGGTTAATACCCCAAATACATAAAGAACCCATACAGCTCAAAAGAAAAAGCCAGTCTAATTAAAAAATGGGTAAAATATCTGAATACACACTTTTCTACAGAAGACACACAGTCAATAGTTACATGAAAAGATGCTCAACATCACTAAGCACTAGGGAAATGCAAATCTTAAAACTACAATGAGGTACCATCTCACACCAGTTACAAGGGCTATTATCAAAAAAAAAAAAAAAAACAACAAGTGCTGGAGATGACGTGGAGAAAAAGGAACCCTCACACACTGTTGGTAGGAATGCAAATTGGTGCAGCAACTATGAAAAACAGTACGGAGGTTCCTCAAATAATTAAAAAATAGATAAGATCTAAATAAAAGTTCCACTTCTGGGTATTTGAAGAAAACAAAAACACTCAAAAAAATATATATGCACCCTATGTTCACTGCAGCATTATTTTTAACAACCAAGATATGGAAACAACCTAAGCATCCACCCATGGATGAACAGATAAAGAAAATGTATGTGTATATACAATGGAATATTATTCAGCCAAAAAAAGAAAACCTTGCCATTTGCAACAACATGGATGAACCTTGAAGGCATTATGCTAAGTTAAAAAAGAGAAAGAGAAATATGATACAATATCACTTACATGTTGAATCTTATTTTAACCAATTTAAAAAAATCTTAGCTAACGCATACAGAGAACAGATTAATGGTTGGCAGAGGTGGGGGGGTGAACAAAATGGGTAAATTACTTTTATAAAAAGGGAAGAAAATATATTAGTGGGAATATTGTCCTAAAGAATGAGAAAAACTAAAACTACCATATACAATTAAATTCTAATTAAGTGTAAGACAAGTTCTTAAAATTAGGGGTAGAGGCGGCTATAAATTGAATCATGTCAAACATTAAAAATTTCTGTTTAATAAAAATACTATAAACAAAGTTAAAAGACAAGCACATAAACCAAAAGATATTCGTAATGCAGATAATCTACAAGAAATCAGCACTCAAACAAACCATAAACAACTCAAAAGAAAAATGGGGAAAAGAAATAGAAAATTCAGAAAATAGAAGTAGAAACCAAAAGGTCCAAGGAACATCTATAGATCCTAAGCTTCACCAGCAAATCAAGGATCTGCAAGTTAATACTAATATGCTATCTCTTCAGGACAATCAGATTTGGAGATATTTTAGTCTTTCCAGAAAAGAAAGGATTTGGAAAAATGAGAACTTTCATATGCCACTGGTGGAAATGTATACTGCTGCAAATGGGCAGAACTTGGCAATATAATAATAATAATATCTAATAAAAATATTTAGTGATTACTTCAAATAAATATATAATAAAGAGGAGATCTAAAATGTCTAAAGTAAGGTTATCAGTAGAAATAAGATAAAAACATTCTGTGTTTAACCTACCAATGATTTTTTTAAGAGCATCTAATTCTTCTTGTTGCTTATGATATGAGCTTTGCTGAAGCTTCGTTTGCAATAAATCTGCCTCCTCAGTTTTCATCTCCCATTGCTGTTTTAGTTGGCGATACCTTAGAAAAAGAAATTTACAATAAATGATCACAACTTTTCTGATATTTGAGATATGCATTTAAACTGTAGGCTCTTAGCTAAAGTAATCTCACAATATAAAATAGGAATAAATAGGTTCCCTTAAAAATGGTCTCTCCTACTGATCCTTACCAAGAAGAAAAACTCCACAATAGCTCCCCACCACAAAAACACATTAAAATGTAACCATCACACAAAATTTCAAAAATCTGGTTATCAATTCCCATTTTCAAATATTAAAGTTCCCTACATTTTGTAATGAGACCGATAGTTTAAAAAGGCACAGTACTGGGGTGCCTGGGTGGCTCAGTCAGTTAAGCATCTGCCTTCAGCTCAGGTCATGATCTCAGGGTCCTGGGATCGAGTCCCGCATCAGGCTCCCTGCTCGGTGGGGAGCCTGCTTCTCCCTCTCCCTCTGCTGCTCTCCCCTGCTGATGCTCTTTCTCTCTCGCAAAAACAAAAAAAATAAAAAAATAAAAGGCACAATACTGAACTTAAACATTACAGTGTGCTCTTCTTGCAAATCCTGTAATTATAGCCCATTTCTAGCTGCTGAATATTCTTTCTTTGGAAGTTATTTAGCTAATTCAGCTGCAGTGAAATTTCAAGCTGTAATAAATTCACAAGGAAGCTTGGCACTAGAAATTCATGAGGTCTGAGGAAAAAGGAAGGAAGCAACTTATAAAACATAAATATTCCCTTGAGTATTCTTGCCTGAGAATGCTTGACAGCAATTAAAACCATAATTTTCAAGCCATTTCTCAATTCGTTTAAAAATGTGGAATGCAGAAATTTGAAAAAAGTTAGAAACTTTTTTCATAATATAGTCCGTGAAAGAATGGCTTTAGGACCTTTCCACGCTCATATTTTTTAAGTAGGCTCCATGCATCTTGCATGGAGCCTAACACAGGGCTTGAACTCACGACACTGAGATCAAGACCTGAGCTGAAATGAAGAGTCGGATGCTTAACTGACTGAGCCACCCAGGGGCCCTCTACTCTCATATTTTTAACAATCTATTTCCTTTCCTTGACCTCAATGCCACTATCAGTCCACAAGACAATTCTGTAAAATAACTTTATTCAGTAGTATTGGATCATTTAACAGGAAGCCAAATGCAACTACAAACTCATTGCCTTGCCAAAGCTTCCACAGATCTCAGAAATCTTCTTCCCATCTTTTTCCAAGAAAAGTTCATTCACTTTTTGGTAATTTATGTTAATGAAGGTAAAATCAGGCTTTACATATGTATATGTTTGAAAGTGGGCATTTTGATACAATTTCTATCTTAGAACGATTATGACCATCTCTTCCATATGTATAGTATTCCAAAAAAGTTTTGGCACCATTCTAAGCTTTCATAATTCAGAAAATGAAAGCGAAAAATTTACAAATATATATATATTAAAGTTTATCTACATACATATTTTAACCTTTATTCAGTATTGCAAATTCCAAAAAAAGTGATTTTAATTTTAACTCTGTTCCCATTTGTCATCTTCAGAGAGACTGGAAAAAAATCAGAAAGTTTCAAATAATGTACTTTTTAAGTTTGTGGCATTTTTCCTCTTAGAACTTAGCATTATCTAATATGTTTTACCAATTTAACTTTTTTTAATTGTGTTTTCCCAGCTATATATATGAAAACAAGAAGGAAGAGATTTATCTCTTTGGTTCACTGCTATATTCCCGCTCCTAAAAGAGTACTTGGGACATAGGAGACACTTAGTAGTAAATAACATTAATTGACAAAAAGAGGTTACATTAAATAGCATGATCCCAATTTCAAAAAAATAAAAATATGTATCTACCTATATCATACACAAACAGAAGTAATGTTGAAAAGCACACATGCATACCCATATCCACACCTACACAGAAGAAACACTGTTAAGGAAACACTTTACAGTGACTTTCTACATGAACTTGTTTACTTCCTCAGTGGGAAACCCAGTGATCTTTATTATCTATCAGACAGCAACAAGCTGCTAAACTTAATGCTGACATGTGATTGATGCTATACTGTTTATCATTTCAAATCAAGGACTCCAGTATCCTCTGGTATCAACCTCCAGAGTATCTATGGATTTCCCCATCAATCCCAGTAGAATGTTACCAGTATATCTCAACAGGGAAAGAAAAATATCTGGCTGATGTTTTCTTCCTTTTGTTTAATTAGCTTTCCCCATTTTCTTAAAACAAAGACATTATTTTTATCAGAAAAAATAACTGATATGTAAGTTATCAACTCACAATTTATTCAAATAAAACCAAGGATATTATGAAAAAAGGCAAAAGTTATATTTCTTTAGATAAAATTCTTTCATTTTCTACCATGCAAGTCTTTGACCAGAAAGAAACTTTAATATATAATTTAATCTGACAGAAGTCTTACTTTTCAGCTGTGTTTTTAAGACCTGCTAATTCCTCGTCTAGAGTCTGTAGCTTATTCTCCTTGATTCTCAGCTCATCTTGAACATCTTTGAGTTCTTGAAACTTGGTTAAAATAGAAGCTGCCTGGGATCGAGCACCTGATAGAAACAAATTTTAATAGGCCTTAGACATTAAGTTACAACATACTTAGTAGACAAAAACTTTCTAAGAATTATACTTGAAAAGATTCAATAGCAAATCTTTTATAGTAAGCTTATAAAGATATAGAATTCATTTTATCATTAGAATCTTAGGGCATATATACTTGATAAGAAAATACTTCTAAGCAGATGTGGTGGATTGTTTATTCAAAATAATCACTGCCCCTTCCTACTGGGCCCATCCCTCTCAGGGCCATTTTCCTCTCTAATATCAGCTTAGCTATGTAGTTTTCTCTGGCCAATGAAATGGAAAATGTGCCTCTTTTGAAAGTAAGCTTTAAAAGGGAGCACATAATTCACCATTTGTTTTCCCTCTCCCCTGAGAAAAGCATGTTCAAAGTGGGGCTATTTTTCCTTTAGCCTGGGTTCCAGAATGAGAATAACACAGAACAGAGAGAAAAATGACCTACAGGTAAAGTAGCATAATTATGGTACTATTTTAAGCCACTGAGATTTGGGGGCTATTTTTTACCACATCATAATCTGGCCTAAACTTTGATATAGCAGAGGAAGCAGAGGAAATTGGTTTCACTTTACAAGCAACTATAATTGTCTGACAACAACAGGTTGAGTTATGTTGGCAAGAAAACTCTAGGTTTGATGGGAGAATGCAAAGTCAATTAGCAATGCTATTATGAGCACTTTGGTAATATGATACAGGGACAGATATTTGCCATCCCTGAAGTAGGAACTTCAAGAACATCCAAATCAATGAAATCTAAAAAGTTTCTTCTATTTTACACATTTAAAAATATTTGATCTCTCTTTATCTTCCAATTACAGATATTAATCCTCTTATTGTATATACTGGAATTCATTTCGCTGGCTATTGTTTTCTTGGCCTAGAAAGAAATTAAGTCACTTGATACCTCAACAGGCATTATACTTGGCTTTGTTAAAAGCACAAACTGGGAAAACAGATAACCTGAATTCAAATCCTGGGCTTTGCCACTTACCTGCAAGTTATTTAACCACCCTGTAAGTTAGTTTCTACAACTGTATACTGCAGATGATAGTAATACACCTGCCACATTGTTGCTATAAGGATGAAAAGAGTTCATTATTTAAAGCCCTGAGAATAGGTCTTCATAAAATGATAAAAATGTTGTGTATCTGCATTGCGCAGTTATCCATTAACTATTTGTGGTCAGAGTCCTTGAAATGTGACTAGGACAATCGAGTAAATTATTTTATTTAACTTTAATTATCTTAATTAAATGTAAAGAGCCACATTTGGCTGCTGTACTGAATGGCACAGTCTTAGAATGTTGCCTGGTACACAGGAAGTACTATTCAGTGTTTGTTAGCTACTTGATCACTCAACATAGATCTGGAAACTCAATGTGGCAAATATTAGAATAAGAAGAATATGATCATTATTTTATTCTCAAGGGCAGATTTAATTCTTTTGTTTTACTTTTCACAGATGCAGTGGCATATACTCAAGTTAGAATTTAGCGTTTCCTGAACAAGGGTAAAAATGTACTGAATTAAAAAAAATTTTCCAGTGACTAGAATATCCTAATAGGGCAAAATGCAAGAGAAAAAAAACAAAACAAAACAAAACAACCCAAAAAAACAGGAACAGACTTACTTGAGAAAAATTAAAAAAAGCAACAGGACTGATTACTACACTATGAGCTCCTTGAGGGCTAAAATACTTCAAAATTTCTCAGTATTTAATTAAATAGCTGTGACACGGTAGGTAATCAAAAGAAAACCCAATCCTTAAGTTAGAAATAAAACTCTGGATTAAGTCATTCCAAACCCACAATTTTCTATTTTAAAAAACAAAACAAAAAAGTCCCATCCTATTTACCACACAGAATTTTGAGGACAAAATAATATAAAACTTACCTCCGAGATTTGCGGGGAAGATGGAAGCAGAATAGAAGGACCCTAGGGTCACCTCACACCATGAACAGAACTAGATAACTATGAAATCATCCAAAACGCCCCAGAAATTGACCTGAAGACTGGCAGAACAAACTCCACAAGTAAAGGCAGAAAAGAGACCACATCAAAGAAGGTAGGAAGTGTGGAGACGTGGTTTGGGAGAGAAACGGCTGCCGTGATGGGGTGGGAGTTATGCTGAACTAGCACACAGGGGAGGCCACACAGGGAAGACAGATCCCCTAACGACTAGCTTCGAGAGTGAGAGGGGCCAAATTTCCTGAGTTTTGGCAACCGGCAGAGCTTAGAACCTACAGTTTTAAAGGTCAGTGTGCTTGGGTCTGGGAGAGCCCCAAAGGTATTGTTCTTTGGACAGAGTAGGGCAAACAGCCCACCAGCAAACAGCATGGTAACAGCTTTCTGCAGAGCACCTGGGGCACGCAGTGGGGAGGTTGTGAGCTCATCTGGAAGCATGTCCCAGAGAGCGTTCACAGAGAGACCCCTCCTAGAACAAAGGAACGAGTAGGCATCATTCCCCTCTCCCACCTCTCAGTATAAACATAGGGCCACATTTGAGAACCAACCCAGCAGACACTTGCTACCTAACATCCTTACACCAAACTCCATCTCCCATGCTCAGGTGGTTTCCCCCTTCCCAATCACTCTTGCCTCAGTCCCAGAATAGCAGGCTCCCACCCCCAGAAGACCAGTGCAAACCCCTGGCAACACCATGTCTCCCGACCTGGGAATTTTACAGGGCTTCGGTTCCACTGGCAACAGGTCTCATTTCACGAACAGACCAGAGCACACCTAGTTAAAAATGCTCCACATTCAGGCCAGGGACTAAACAGTGTTGCCCACAATAGGCAAAGAGAGCCTCTGCAGACAATTGGCCTGAAGGATAAAGAGGCCAGGACATACTGCAGACGCTCGTGGAAACACCAGGTCCTGGAGAATAAGGGACACTATACTGCTAGGCACTACAGAGACCTCTTCTCCATCAAGCCATTACCATCAAGAAAAGGAGATGACTTTCCTAACACAGAGAAACAGGCAGAAACTTAGACAAAATGAGAAGACAGAGGAATCTGTCCCAAAGAACAGGAAAAGGCCACAGCCACAGATCCAAGCAAAACAAATACAAGTAACATGAGTGAAAAAGAATTTATTTATTTAATTTTAAAGATTTTATTTTTGCAAGAGAAAGAGCAAGCACGTGAGTACACAAGCAGAGGGGAGGGGCAGAGGGAGAAGCAGACTCCCCACTGAGCAGGGAGCCCGATGTGGGACTTGATCCCAGGACCCTGGGATCATGACCTGAGCTGAAGGCAGACGCTTAATCAACTGAGGCACCCAGGTGCCCTGAAAGAGAATTTAAAGTAATGATCATAAAGGTACTGCACTTTAAAGAAAAGTGGAAGACATCAGTGAGACCCTTAAGGCAGAAATAAAAAAAGAACCAATCAAGAGATGAAGAGTGCAATAAATGAGATTACAAACACCCATGATGCAACAAACAGTAGGCTGGGAGAAGCAGAAAAACAAATTAATGACGTAGAAGACAGAGGGATGGAAAATAAACTTAACAGGAGAGAGAAAAAAGAATTATGCAAATAGAACAGACTTAGGGAACTCAGTGACTTCCATTAAATGTAATAATATTCATATTGTAGGGATCCTAGAAGAATAAGAGAGAAAAGGGGGTAGAAAGTTTGAAGAAATCATACCTGAAAACTTCCCTAATCTGGGGAAGGAAACAGATAACCAGACCCAGGAGACATGAAGAACCCCCCCAAAAATCCACAAAAGCAGATCCACATGAAGACATATTATAATTAAGATGTCTAAATGTAGTGATAAATTTTAAAAAGGAGCAAAACAAAAGAAGACAGTAACCTACCAGGGAAACTACATAAGGCTATCAGCAGATTTTTCAGCAAAATCTTTGAAGGCCAGAAGGGAGTGGCATGATATACTGCAAGTGAATGAGAAAAAGATGCAGCCAAGAATACTCTATCCAGCAAGGCTATCACTCAGAATAAAAGGAGAAAGAAAGTTTCCCAAAGAAACAAAAATTAGAGCAGTTCATGACCACTAAACCAGACCTGCAAGAGAACTGACTAGGAAGGAAAGACCAAAGTGACAGTAAGAAAGCAGGAAACACAAAAGTAATAAAAATGAGTATTTCTGTAAGAAATCAGTCAATGAACTCACAAAACACAATGATGTAAAATATCCAAATACCTAAATGTGGGGAGGAGAATGGTAAAAATGGGTTCAAACTTAAGCAAAATGCTTCCTAATATAGACTGCTATATTCAAAAGATATTATATACAAATCAAAAGATAGCCAGAAATTAAAAACGACTAAAAGAAATGCAAAGGAGAAAAAGGAATGCAAATATAGCACTAAAGAAAACCAGCACACCATGAAAGAAAAAGGATGAGAAAAACTTCAGAAACAAGTAACAAAATGACAGTAAGTACACACCTATCAATAATTATTTTGAATGTAAATGGACTAAATGCTCCAATCAAAATAGGGTGACAGAATGCATAAAAAAAAAAAAAAAAAAGACTCATCTATATGCTGCCTATAAGAGACACATTTCAGACCTAAAGACACCTGAAGTTGAAAGTGAAGGAATGGAGAAACATTTATCATACAAACGGATGTCAAAAGAAAGCAGGAACAGACATATCAGACAAAATAGATTTTAAAACAAAGACTGTAACAAGAGACAAAGACACCATAAAATAATAAAGGGGACTATCCAACAAAAAGACATAACAATTGTAGATATTTACACACTCAACATGGAGTACCCAAATACATAAAACAGTTAATAACATAAACGAACTAATCAATAGCCACACAATAATAGTAGGGGGACTTTAACACCCCACTTACATCAATGGATAGATCAATCAGAAAATCCACAAGGAAACAGTGGCTTTGAAGGACACACTGGACCAAATGGGTTTAACAAATATATTCAGAACATTCCATCCTAAATAGCAGAATACACATTCTAATCAGGTAC